CTAGTCTTATACTAGTAGAGCAGAGAAGAAATCCGATCTCTCTATGATATCTTCTTAGCGCCACTAGCATAAAACTAGCACCGGCAGAGCTAAGAAGAATTCATAGTAGTTTATGCTGGCTAGAGAGGAAAGGATTGCAATGGAAGCAAATGTGACTTGATTTCTTCTTCTTGATTGTACCACATGGCCCAGCAAGGGAGAGAGGCCTTCTCTATCCTGACTTCCTGAGCTTGTCAAAATGTAAGTAAGTGATGGGGTGGGGTATGGAGAAGGCCCCCTAGGGCTTTAGGGAAACCAAGGGGCAGAGGCAGAGCTGGGATATCTTAGAGGGTGGGGGAGACCTCCTGGGAGTGCCTGTGCCTACACTAGATCTACCTCGGTTTCTCCCATGTTACCCCATGATCTACCTACCAACCCACACATTCGTTTAACAAATGCATTGAGAAAAGCAGGGACAGGGAAGTTGTTAGTTAGGTGCTTCATTTAATGCAGTCCTTGACTTCTGACATGAATGGACAAGCTCCATTAATGTGGTAAGTCAAGGACTACCTGTATTAGCCAACCTCTGGGGCTCTTTTGATGGACTCATAGAAGTATAAATCATAGAAGTATTAAGGTGTATAAATCCTTCCATTTCCCACCATCCGGTCAGAGCTGAAGAAGCTTCTTGGATGACTAGTGAAATGTCTTCAAATAAAATCCATGAAGTCCAGTTGCCCCTTGAAAAAAAGAACCTTTGGGACAACCATGACTTGGATGACTGAGAATCTCCTGGGCTCTTCTGATGGATGAACATTATTTCCAGAAATCACTTGGCCAATCTTGTTCATTTCATGCTTTTCTTATTTCTTTATAACAGCTTGCTTTCGTGCAGGGAAATTCCTTATCCTGATTAACTTTAGCTTTGCCTTTTGCAGTTGGGCAGCCTTCTTCCAAAAATGTTGTAATTGATATGCATCGCACAAAAGAATTTAGAAGAATAACAGTTTCATTGTCAAACAAATATTCCAGTAGAGATTCTTTTATTTGGTTATGATTTCTTATAACCAAGAGAAGGTATCTTATGTATGCAACACAAAATGGTTATCAATTGCCAATATTTAATATATGGCAGACAGGATAAAAATGCTTTAAATTGCTTTGATTTCTTTGTACTTTAAAAATTACTCTTATTTACCTTGGAATTATTCCATACACACATTTTGTACTTTTGTGGCATTGATTTTGAATGTTTCCCATGCCATTCTCATTTTGCATGATTCCCATGACATTCTCAAACTTACTCTTTTCCTAGGTAAAATTGCAAAACCTCTACTTTGATTTACAGTACTGAAACTCTGTGGAGCTTTGAGCCATTTCCCCAGTTCTAAAAATTGCTTCACTCACCAGCCCATTGCTTGAATTTGAAGATTTCTAGTATGTTTTAGAGGTAACTTTATCAGTGAATTGATCTTACACTTTTTCACACAATTGCCTACTTTCCTTTGTTCTGCCTACTGTCAGTATGCAGTCAAATCATGTGTTACCCCACCTCTATTTCTAGGATTGGGTTAGTTGTTCTCTGATGGAAGAATGCCTGCAAAGTAATAAAGTTATGCTACATTAGACCTTTAAGTGAGAATTGATATGCAGAAGGAATGATGTCTTGAAGGCCATTGAAGGTCTGAGTAAATTTTTCCTCCAAATAACATACAACGTGAACTGAATATGGAGATGACTGGGGATTTATTTCTCCTTTTTGTGTGAAGTAGATCCTGAGAGGACTTTGGATTCAGGAGATGGGGCACTTACTGTCTAATGAATCTGCACTTTCCTGTTGGCTGGTTGGGGGCAGCATTGATTACCTCATAGTGTTCTTTTTGTATTTGCAGCAGGCTGAATTTGGCAGGTATTATGGATTCCATGTAGAGCTTTAACATATTAATAGTGTGGCTTTATTATTTTTAAGGACAGTAGGTATTTCAGAATATTGGAACATTTTAGATTTTTCTTTTTTCTTAGATTGAAATGTCTTCCATTTCAATGATACAAGATTAAAATTATGTGAACAGTTAAGTAGTTGGACTAATAGCTTGTTTGTGTGAATAAAGGAAACATTTTCTCTAAGAAGACCTGCCCATTTCCCACTGGCATCTTCTCTGCAAGCATGTATGAAACTTGTATTAAATAATGCAAATTGGATATGTGCTAACTAGTTCAATAATTGCCCCCTAATTAATGGAGCCCAGCATTAATTTACTTTGCAAACAGAACAATCAATTTAATGTTGCTGTTCATAGGAAAATTATGCATACATAAAATCCTAAGAGGTAATATTGAATACTGAATTAATATCTAAATTACACTGTAAATTTCTTGAATCTAATTTATTATTAATCACAGCTCTAACAATGAATTTTATATTGTAGTGAATAATTTTGAGCCATTCTACTTTATACTCAGGAAAAGATCATATGAAAATTTTTATAGATGTTATTGATTAATTTTCCTCTTACTTTTGATTATATAATCTTTCCTCATTAATAAAACTGTCAGTTGCCCATAGTGCATCAAGAATGAGTGCATTTCCCCCTTTTTCTCTAAAATACATTTTAAAAATACAATTTTTAGTCAGAGCATTGATTTTGTGAACTGCAGAATTTAGAACTTTGCATATATATGAATGTGTACTTCTGTAGCCTTGCCACCAAATTCTTATTTTTTAAAAAAATAGTATGTTGGAGTAGTGAAGTACAGGATATCTTTATTATTAATGAACTCTTCTTCCTTATCTCTGACCTGTTATGGATTTGGGTTACACAAAATTGAATGTGAATGTGTATTCTCATGTGAATTAAATGGGTAAAAATGAATTGAGCTACATGGTCCATAGAAACAATACCTGCACTGAAGTTATTGCTGTTACATTCTTCCAGGATATTCATCTCCATACTCCCCCAAAAGCAATCAAAATGTTTATCACAGTTAATTAAACATAGAGCAAACATTTTGGCACAACACGAGGATGCAAGCAGGATACAGTTTCTTTCCTTTAGGCATAGAGGGAACAATAATAAGAGTTTCAGGTCCACTTAGTATTTTATTACATAATGTGGCACTATTTTGTGTATATAATGGCAACAATTTTTATTCAGTATCAGTGCATTTTTGTAATAGTGTGACATGGACTTAATTGGTCAAATTGTAGTGTGAGAGAATGCATTTCCTCTCCCTAAACATTATACCTTTTTAAATAGGTTACCCTTATCTCTTATCTATAAATAAATTATACAGTTTATTGCTTCTCTCATATTGATATATTTTAAATCTTTGACTTTAGGAGAGCAACACGGAGAGGAGAAAATTGGGAAGAGAAATTTGGGGAAAAGTAAAAGTACAACATATATGTAGTCCTTGACTTATGAACACAATTGAGCCCAACCTTTCCATTGCTAAGCAAGACAGTTGCTAAGTAAGTCACGCCCCATTTTACAAGCTTTTTTGTCATAGTTGTTGAGCAAAATATTGCAGTTAAGTCAACATTAAGTGAATTTGGTTTCCCCTATTAACTTTGCTTGTCAGAAGCCAGTTGGGAAGGTCACAAATGGTGACCACATAACCCTGGGACACTGCAGCTGTCATGCCAATACATGCAAGTTGCTAAGCACATGAATTTTGATCACATGACCATAGGAATGCAGCAATGGTCATAAATGTGAAAACTGGTCATAAATCATTTTTTTCAATGCCATTGTAATTTTGAACAATCAGTAAATGAATGATTGTAAGTCAAGGACTACCTATACTTGGTTACTGTCATTGATCTGCAAACTGTTAGACCACATTTCATTCTATTCCTAATCTCTGGCCATGATCTCCAGATTTATTACTGCTGATGATATTTTTCTTCTCTCCTTTCATTCACTATAAACACTTATCAGTTCAGAGTCCTTTCATTTTTCATGTTGTGGAATTCCTATTGAAAATTACAGTGTGTTACTGTTTTTTTACAAGCTATTTTCTGTTATGTTTGAATGTAACATTTCCATATTACTTATTACTATTATTCACTATGTTCATCTTGAACCAGAACTCTTACAGAACATTCATTCTTGAATAGTTTGAATGATATTGCACAACCACCAGATTTTTTAACTGAGTGATTGAATGATATTGGTTACTGTATCACACTTTCCAGCAGAAATATGATTTATAGATTTGTTTTTCTGATTTCCTCAAATTTTGGATATAATTGTCTATTTATATTTGGAATTTGGATTTATATCTAGAAATAACATAGTAACTTTCATTGTTTGCTCTGTACAGTAAGAAAGCGATATTTCATGTGAACAAATCAATCCCAATTTGTTTTCTTGACTTGTTAAGTGCACTGAACATTCTAGGTTTTTTGGATATGTACCCAAGTCAAATAGTAAATTTCTTTTACGTCTTGCCAAATGTTCAGTATGTTCAGAATTTTCTTTAGACGAATGACTGAAATTATAGTCTACATTCTTTGATTTTTAATTATTTTTGCTATCTATAATAATTTCCCATTATTCTTAAGCTTTACTTTAGATTGATTGATTGATTGATTGAATATGCATCATCAGATTGATTTCGACTGTCTGTGTGGTCACTAGGAGTCAAAAATGACTTGATGATAAATACTGAAAAGGCAACCTCATTTTGTCATTCCAAACAATTATCATTGTTTTATGCCTCTCTATATTTTTTCAACTTCACTTCTTTTGTGAAAATGATCCTAATTACTTATTTAATCTAGGTTCTAACTTTAAAACTCTGTTGTTGCTACTTTGCCTTTCTGACATGGCACATTTTGCAACCTGATTGCCTTCGTCTCAGTTGGTATTTTAGGATTTTTTCCCCCACCTGTTTTCCCATAAGCAGATATTCTTAAGTATAAAATATGCTGCACTTAAACACTATGGATAATAATATGCACACTTCTATAAAAGGTTCTTAATTGATTTATTATTTTTGAAACATTTATTTTCCAGGTTTTAAAAATCAGCTTGCTGGGCCATAGAAAACGCATTTTGGCATCATTGGGAGACAGACTTCACGAAGACCCACCTCAGAAACCACCACGTTCTATCACCCTCAGGGTAGGTTCCATCAAATCCTTGTAATATCTGAATTGCCCTATCCCAGTGCTTAGAGAAGAGCCAGATCTTTTCCAGTTTATTTGTGAGGTGGTCTCACAAATAAACTGGCTCCATTCCAGGTAGAGCTTTAAAAGTGATAAGTAGCACCTTGACTTGCATTAGGAAAGGTACAAGATGACAATATAGCTCACACAAGGGTGGTATAAGATGGACAAAGCAAGGGACATCCAACACTGTTTGCACTGCCACATTCTGGACCAATTGTAAGTTTTAGATTGTATTCAAGGGCAGTCCATGTAGAATGTGTTACAATAATCCAATTGAGAAGTCACTAACTTTAACATAACTACTTAGATTTTTTTTCACAGTATTAAATATTCAGTTAAAGTTAAATCTGTTTTTTTTTCTTTTTATTATTACTCTGATCTGTAACCTAGCCTTATTTCATATCTATGTATGGCCAAACCATAAAACTTTTTTTTCTTATTTCATTAGCTGATATTTCACGATTACCCTGATATTTTAATATGATTCTGAGGTACAAACTCAGTCTTAGTAATGTTTATATAATAGCTGTTATATAAATAAAATTTTATTTTTAATGGAGATTAGAAAGAGGTTTATTTGCTTTTAATTACTACTTCTTTTCAAATAATAAAGAAAGCTATTACACATTATAGGCTACTCTTTCTGCAATGGTCATAACTGTGCAAAAAGGTAATAAGTCACTTTTTTCAGTGCAGTTGTAACTTCAAATGGTCACTAAACAAATAGTTGTAAGTCAAGGACTACCTGTATTGAAAGGGTTATGTAGGCATATGGTCAGTTTTGACTCATATAAGAAACCAGTTTTAAAGATCTTCAATAACATCTCCAGCCTTCTCCCATATTGAGATCTCACTACTTACTCATAATGACACTGAAACAAAGTCCTACACTCTGGCAATATTTGATCTGTGAAAACTCTTCAAGTACTTGAAGAGCAATCATTGTTATCACTGATAGCTTTATGATTTCCTTCTGGAAAACAGTCTTTTCAGCTATACAAGTAATTTATACATGACTTCTTTTGTATATAGTGTATATAATGATGTCTCTTATATATGTAGCTGTGGTAATATTTAAAGAAAGATCTTTAAGTTATATAAGAAGTGAGAATTCAAGTTATTGAATTATCGTTGTCAGTTTAAAGTTTATGAATTTCCTACATTTCTAAACACTGACCAGTAATGGAACTATTGTGTATCGAGAATTGAGTATACCCAGAGTGTTTTATCCATGTTATTAATATGAATTTAACAGTACAGATGTTCTTGCACAGTTAACTTGAGTAGTGCTTCTCAATCTTGGCAGCTTGAAGATATATGGACTTTAATTGCCAGAATTCCCCAACCAGCGTACTGATTGGGGAATTCTGGGAGTTGAAGTTCACATATCTTCAAGCTGCCAAGGTTGAGAAATGCTGAGAGTATTGAGAATAATGTTTATTTCATGCTTCCACTTTCTTTCTTATTTGATGCAGGAACCCAGTGGTAATCACACTCCTCCCCAGTTGTCTCCTTCGCTCAGCCAAAGTACTTACACTACTGGTGGTTCCCTGGATATACCACACATTATCATGCAGGGAGATGCAAGGAGAAGAAGAAATGACAGCTATTTTGACGATATTCCTAGGTCAAAACTGGAACGACAAATGGCACAGGTAATGTTGGAAAACTCCATGTTTATTAGAAAGGTATTTTTAAACATTTGTTTCCCTAGCATTAACTTTCAGAAATTGGTGTTTAATTTTTTTTTTCCAGTTGAATTTACCTCTTAGTTTTTATCTTTTTAATTCTTTTCAGAAAAGTATACTTTTCTCCCTGCTTTATAGAATTCTGTAAACTTACTTACAGTTATTTGTACCTGAACAATCCTGGGAGATGTGAATAAAATGAATGTGTAAAATGAAAAAAAAATCTACTTGCCTTTGAATAAGAGAACTACTTTTTGTTGTTCATGATGGAAAACCTATTTCTCCTTGGTCTGAATGATACAGCTAAGCCATCTGATAACTGTTGGTCTGGAAACTAGTCAGAGGTGCAACAACATGTTGCAGCATGAAAAGATTAATTCAGTAATCCTTATCCTCTTCCACACTATTTTACTCCACTGCCTTCCTTTCTGGTTTTCTCTTGCTAGTGATATGTCAACACTGCTGTCCCTGAATATTTCACTGACCTATTTTGCTTTATTTTCATTCTTCTTTTCTTCCTTGGGATAATGGTAATTAGTAGTGATGTGTGATGGTTATCAGCTTATGATGGTGTTTTATTCTGATTCAAACATATAACATACTTCACTCTTCTATGTAGATGATGTAGTTTTTACTACCTAAGGAATAGAGGTAATTATAGAATACAGTGTTGTCCATCTCTGTGAAATAATTTTAAAAACAATTTTGTAGCAATACATTTTTATGTAATTCATCTAAAATGGCTTAGCCCAAACAGATTTGACAAGCTGTAGAATGAACATGTTCTTTGCTGCTTAAATGACTTGTGTATTCAGGAATGTGTTTCACAGAATACTCATAATAGAGGAGTGGACTTCTGTCAGTTTGAGTATGCAAATTTCAATCTCATTGCAGTTCAGAATTCTTGACTCTGTTGAGGTTGTCTAGGTAACCTGTGCTAACTTTTGTATTTTTTTTAAATCAATATTTTTTGATGAAAAATAACTTCTCAATTAGTTTTTCTAATTTAAACTATTTTTAAACTAATTTGGATAAAGATTTTACAATAGGCAGGCCATCAGAAATGTAGCCAGCTTCAAAAATAAAATTGGACCATCCTAAGGGAACTGCTAAGTTTTCAGAAGATGTAGGATTAGTTAAGAATATTGTCCTTTGGTAAATTTGTTCCTTGTTTTTTTTTTTAAAAAAGACACCCTTATTAATTAATCGGCTCTGGAAATCTATTCAGTTCTTATTTTTTGCATTTTTTGTATTTTTACTACCCAGCTAATTTACATCTAATTTGTAAAAATCCACCTTTACCAGTGGAAATGCTTTTTTGATAGAAATATTTTTTATAAAATTGGCAGATAATACAATTGGCCTCAGCTTTTATTGATATGAGACAATTAAGAGAAAATACAGAAAATCAGTATTTTAGAATTAAATTGCAGAGTATATCATCTGCACTTTTAGATAATTTGTGATGGGATTTGTTGAAGGCTTCCTAGTATATATGATAAATTATTTATATGAAATCAATTTATTTTCTAGTCTTAGATATGATTAGTCCATTAATGACAATAAAGCAAACATATAAAATATATGATCAAAACATGGTTCAGATTTCAATCTAAAGGATAGTATACTTGAGTTCCCATCTGCAGAACTGCCTTAGGATTATGTAAGTTATTGTCTGGTGGTGCATAGAATGACAGAAATCCTCTACCATGAACCATATTGTATCCATCAGAAACTATGAACACCTTAAATAGATGTGAGGTCGCAGTTGAGGTCACAAAGTTTGATGGTGACTTGACGTGACATCCAATGTTTGTTCAAATAAACTTTTCTATGACCGTAACCTTGATTCTATTGTCTTTTGTCTCTCAGTTTTCAAAAGAACAGTTCATTTTCTCCTGCTGAATTGGATTTTCTTTTAACCTCCAGCTGAAAGGACTGGAATAATCTGTCTAGAATATAAGACAGCTTTAAAAACTGTAGAGAAAGTACATTATTAAAGACACTTACACATCAGTTAAGGAGCTTGAATATGAGAACCGCCAATGCTTTAATAATTTATTTTTCTAATTAATCATTTTTGACATCTGAATTTCTTGCTATTTGAAGAAATATTGCTCATAAAATATATAATATCGAGAGTTTTCTTTTTTCTTAAAAACGGCATTGAATATAAATGGATATATCTGAAAGCATATGTTCTGACCCAGCTCTCCCAACACGACAAACACTCTGAAGTCAAACATTTCTTTATTAAGAGCGCCAGCAGCCCTGGCAAAAAGTTTCTCTCTCACTGCAGACTAACAAGTCCATCAAGGAGGGAGAGGAATAGTTGACTGCCACATCTATTCATCTCCGCCCCCCGCCTTTTATCCCCAGAGCTAGGATGGGACTTCACTAGCAGCGGGAGCTCTTCCTACCCAAGGATCGGCCCACGGATTTCCACTCCTCACCTCTGCCTTCTGCGCATCCGTGCATCAGGCACTTGAGCCAGCTGTTTCTTCTCTTCCTCATCAGCCACCTCCAGACCTGGGGGCTGTTGACTTTCCATCTGAGGGCTGATGGATGGCCCAGGCTCCACCTCTGTCTCTCTGCCAGCTCCATTCCCTCTTCCCCCTCGGAGCTCTCAGGTTGCGTTGATGCTGACCCTAATGCCCACCCCCCCTCCTCTTCTGATTCGGCTTCTGGAGGGGCCGGCAGCCGACAGGCCACAACAGCATAGTTCAGATTTTAAAAAGGACTTCCTAATATTATTTAAGTTTGATATTTTTAAAACTTTAAAAAAGCTGAACAAATCTTAGTGCTACAACCAGGAGTTAGGAAAAACCAATGTCTTAAACTTTATGGTCAGACCACTGTAATCAAAATTTATGTATCATTCAACGCACTCACTATGAAGTATATTAACTATATAAAAGCTATCTACATAGGCTTTCCCAAAGCAAAATCAAATTTAAAAAATATATTGGCCTTTTGCATTTCAAACAGTGTGGTAGCCTTTTTAACTTTATGGTCTTTTTAACTTTAACCATAAATACTGGGAAATCAGAATACTTTTTGTATGCAGAAAAAAATATTATAATGATACATTCACTTGATTATTCTTTAGTTTTTATTTAGATATTAGATACCTGATAGAGTCAAAAATACTTCACTGTTTTATGTGTTTTTGAGTGTTCTTAGCCAATTTCTAGCTCTTCTGGTTCTCGTATTTACAAAACACAGCAACACACTAACAGATTTTGAAGGAAGCTATTGTAACATATGCTTTGTCTTTTGCAGTATTTTGTACCCAAAACAATAATTTTGGAAATACTTTGACTATAAACTGCACATTGTTGTGTTTTCTGTTGTTTTCCTTCTAAGTTCATGAAGCTGAGTAGGTCCCCTAAAGAAAGAGATTATGCATAATCTCGAGCTTTGTTTTCAGAGGAGATATCTGGGTCAAAACAGGGAGGCTATGCATTACAGAGTCTATTGTTATCAAAATAACAGCTGTGGAATGCTCAAAATGGAAGAAGTATCCACAACATGGAAGGGTTTCTGATTCTGATCTCTCAGGCTACAATCTCAGTCAAGTGTGTATATTCCAACTCTCTGAAACTCTCTCATCCAGAAGCAAAAGTATGAAAATTATGTACATCCTATTCTTCTCTCCAGTTTTAATTGTGTTTATAAAACAGGCATGCAAAATGTTTTCACATAGTTTACATATTTTTCATTTTGGACCAGAGTTCTTCTGTGCTGTTGCCCTGAATATGCGTAGAGAAGACAACTCATTTTTGGCACTTGTATACAAAGCTAGCTTGGGTGCTTCTTCAATGTAGTTTTCCTTACCAATATAAATAGCAACTGTTAAAACCCTTTTTCATCCATAGTTTAGGTTTTTTTATGCAAAATTCTCATATCTAGTAATTGAAACATTAGAAGACAGAGAACTAATTAAGTAGTAAAACATACCCTTGGGCATGACAGTTGTCAGACTAAATTATTTTCAGAATCCTATTAGATCTTTTTTAGGAACATTTCAGATCTCTTTAATTTTAATTTTAATTTTTTTTAGAAAAAAGATCTAATAATGCTAGAAGTTGTAAACAGCTGTCTGAAAGCCAATTGGATTTTTTTATTAGAAGTATAATCTGAGCTATGAGAAGTGCCTTTAGGTTATGATCTAGCTACCATGTCTCCATGCCGCCTTTGTTCCCCATAACTGGCTATTAATATTGAAATTGGACTATTAGGGTATTTGTATTGAAATTTTTGTGTTTCAAACAGGGAGAAACTATGTTATTCCGCAAGCCATCAGTCCTTCTAAAGCATTATAAAGTGCAAATTTAGGCCATGCTCTCGGCAGATTTACTCCTTGAGGAGAACTGCTGAATCTGGCATGTTTATCTATTTTTGTCCTCAGGCTTTTTGCTGCCTTGTTATTTTTTTCCTTCCATACCCAGAAGGCCTCTAGCCTATTGCAATCTTTGCCCAGATTAAACGCTCCAGGTAATGCTTGAGACCTTTGCTACATCTTCATTTTCAAAACTTATCGGAGAAGCAAACACTTCATAATCTTACAAAATTACACATAATGCAATACTTAATTGCCAATTATCCAATATGTGTAACTGGTAAATGGTTTGGACTGTTTGCTGCCAAAGTACCTGTTTTGTTGATTAATGATAACTGCTTGATTATGATACAAATTCTTAGTATTGAATTGTAGCATTCTTTCTGGGCAGTTCAGAGAAAGTCAGCTTCCAACACCCTCAGAATTTTAGTAATGATATAATTTATTAGTGAAAGAAGCTCAGATTTTGAAGACCAAAATGCATTTCAAGTAAGATTTTTTTTCACAGGAAGCTGTGTCTGTTTGAAATCCAGTCTTTATTTAGATACCAGTATTACATTTGCACTCTTTGTCTTAACTGCTGGCTGTGCTTTGTATACTGTGGTTAAGCTATTGATGTATTAATTGCTAGCTACTTCCAAAGAATGCAGTTGCATTTCTCATCTGTTACCTTTCATTGTTGCCCGCTCAGGAGACCCAGGTAGCTGCTATATCTGGTGCTTAGTTGCTTGGCTACTATGAACTATTATCTTGGAGTCATCTGTGGTCTCCAAATAAGGAAAAATACATCAGGAGTTGCTGTCTAGTGACAGAAAGCTGATTTTCTGTTCTTTTTGACACAGTTGCCGTGCTGGAATCTTTCCTGACTGGCTGTAATTATACTTCCAACAACAAATTGTAGCATTTGAACTGCTATTTTACAACTATGAGTGCAGTTTTTACTGCTAATTATTGCAGCAAATAAAGTGTGGTGATCTATACCGAAGAGTTGTTCTCCCTTTTGGTGACTTAACCATTAAAACAGTGGAAGTTTTGCTTCTACTGCAGTTAATATCCCAAATGTTAATGCCTTTTGCTTAGCAGTTACATTTGTTTGATAATTTATTTGATCATTTAAGGCCCTTCCTTCCTTCCTTCCTTCCTCCCTCCCTCCACCCACCCACCCACTATATTGGGAAACTGCTCAGCTACGGAATAAAATTAAAGACTGGAGTGTGACAGGAAAACTGGATTTCTCTGCTGTGAAAGCTTTAATCCATAAACGGGGAATAATTTCATTGTTCTGAACTGGATTATACTGTATTTCATGTTCTGTAATGGTTTTATCAGCAATTACATTAAAAAGAGTATTGACAGCTGCAATAAATGAATAGTTCTTCTTTCTTTTAAATTTTTGCAGTTACATTTTATGCTCTGTGCAATGTTTTAATTCTTCTTTTGTTTAAGGAATTATTATTATTTATAAGATGAGATATAGTTTCTATTTATATCAGCAGTCGTCTGTCTGTGAAATATGGACCAACCAGAATGCAGGATATCCTTACTCAGCAGTCCATCAGGTTCATAATGTAAGATATGTCAATAAATGGTTATGTTGTCACTGCATTGCTGTTCATTGTGCTGTTTTGGTGTTGATATAGGTGCGTTGCTTTTTGGAATTCAACAGGCGGTGTGTATTTCTAATAATTTCCAGGATTCTGTTTGTTATGTATTTGTTTTTCATAATGTGCAATTAACATGTTGGAAAGAGCAGGAACTGGATACTTGTTTTTAGTTCTGCGGTGTGCAATGTGTGATTTGTTTTTCAATTCCTTTATCCGTATTTCAGTTTTTGTTTCAGGTGGGGCTGTCTGTTCATCTTTAAAGACAAAAGATGTAAACTGCATACATTCTGCAATTTAGCAGTATTATGTGTCTTTCTGGTTTACTACCCAGAATGGTCTCCTTTCGAGTCTGTCAAGACTTTTTCTCCAAAATAACTGTCAAAAACAGTTACCACAGTGTACTTTATAGATCGTGTCTTCTAGTACATACTGGTACTGGTCCCGGTTACTCATCTTAAAATTTCCTGATTTATATGCAAAGTGGGTAGTACTGGATCTCCTGGTCATATTCATAATACATATACAATTTCCAATGGAAATACTCATATTAGTATAATGAAACAAAATATGGAAATTACTTGTAATTATAACCTAAACCTATCTTTGCAAAAATGGGAGGTAAATTATCATGTAAAAATCTATCCATTTTTACAATCACGATATATTACTTCTCATTTAACACTACCAATTTTGACTATTCTTATTATAACATAATAAAATTTTTACTATATGATATTTATTAATGTGGAAAATTAAAGATGACTTATTACAGATAGTCCTAAACTTACAACAGTTCATTTAGTGATTGTTTGAAGTAACAACAGTATTGAAAAAAGTGACTTAAGACTATTTTTTATACATACCACTCTTGTAGCATCCCCATGGTCACAGGATAAAAATTCAGACTCTTGCCAACTAATTCATATTTATGATGGTTGCAATGTTCTGGGGTCATGTGATCGCCTTTTGTGAACTTCCAATCAGTAAAGTCAATGGGGAAGCCAGATTCACTTAACAACGGTGTTACTAACATTGTATCAGTAGTGATTCACTTAACAACTTTGGCCAGAAAGGTCATAAAATGGTACAAAATTCACTGAACGACTGTCTCACTTAGGCATAGAAATTTTGGGCTCAACTGTGGTCTTACATCAAGGACTACCTGTAGTATAATTGAAAAGAAAGGGTGAATGCTATCAGAATTTATTCCCACATTTGCTTCCTTGTCCCAATAAAGAATTAGGTTGGAGAAGGAAAGGCCAGAAAGTAAAACAGATGTTATATTCAGTATCTTATTTTTTCACTAGGTCAAGGCATGAAATAGGAGGTATTCATATTTTATTTTATTTCTATTTGAAAGGAAAATGGGAATGTCAATGGTTGAGCTATAGCACAGAAATAAGAGTTTCCACATCTAATAGATTGATGACACCCCAACAGATCAGGGTTTCTAACACAATTCAAGTGGAACAACATAATTAGGAATCAGCAGAGTGAATCTTTTCCTAGATAGCTAAGGAATTTTTAATATCATAATTAATTTTTGTCCCGTGAGTGGTACCTCCTTCTCCTAGGACATAATCATTTTTCAAATACCCATCAACGTTGGGAAGAGCTGCTAAATAAATGTAGTTTTAAAATTAATTTGAATTATGATATTTTTTGATATCAATATAAAATGGTACCATCCTCCCCCACCTGCTCATCCTACCCTCTCCTCCCCATCTTTTAGTTATGGCTGATAATTTGTATTTTTATAGTATTTGATAATTATTGTATGAATGTTTTTGTATTGTTTTATTTTTTTTAACATTGTAAGCTACCCAGAATCACCTAGTGGTGAGATGGGCAGCAAACAAATTTAATAAATAAATCTAAAAAATGTAGCATTTTAATAAGTCAGTGTATACTTTCCATATCCACTATATATACTGTATATATTACATGAACTGCATTTCTTTTACTTTGCTATATTGTCACTTTCTAATTTTTGAAGTGGAAACAATACGAATATTTTTCTTATAATATCTGAATAATATTTCCCCCTTATATCTTCTTGTAGTTATGCAGCTTATCTGCAATAAAAAGTAGGTTGCAGCTATACAGTGGGCTACAAATGAACAAGGAAAAGTTCAGTGAAAAATGGAATCATTATTTCATAGGTCTCTGGGCTTCCTGCCTTGATCTGTGGCTGACTCAGGGAGGACTACAGTAGAGAGAGGAATCTTTCCATCTCTGCCTTTGGCTTTTTAAAACTACTTTGTGGATCAAAGCTGTAAAACAAGTGTTACCTTGAATATAGCCTTGACAAGCTATTCCAGTAAAAGCAAAAACAAAACTACTGAATGCAGTCACATTTCTTTGAGTGACATTAATAAAATTACTTCAGTAAATGGACAATATAATTGCAAGCTTGTTTATAATATTAAATTTCCATTTCTGTAAACAGTTCTGATTACTGAAGTATATAAATGTGTGTGAATAATTGCAAACTCAAATAATTAAATGTATTTATTTATTTGATTTACTTGCTGCACATCTCACCTCATATGCTTAATTATAACATTAAGTATAGTTTGGTTTCTCATAGTCTTTCTGACATACAGTGGGGCAAAAAAGTATTTAGTCAGCCACCAATTATGCAAGTTCTCCCACTTAAAAAGATG